CAATAGCTTAAAAAAGCCCAGCAGCCAGGGACAATTTACTATAACAAACAGCTCTATAAACTCCAATACAGTGTGAGGGCATCACTATCCAGGGTCTAATACTGAGTAAGAGCAGCTTAAATTATGTTCATGTTAACAGTTTAAGAGCAATGGAATGGAGCCGGTAGTGACATTTTAGGTCTGTAATCACAGATTCAGTAAGGCTGAGGAGACTCAGGCTGATCTCTAGAAATTCTGAGCTGCAGTGGGCAAAAGGGACTGAATGTCCATACTATGTCTGGTATTAATATTGTGAGTTCCAGGAAAAGGGGAGAGAGACAAAAGGTTGCCTAAGGATAGGGCTTGTGACTAGCCCCTGCACTTTAGCCTCTGCTGGATACAGAGACCTAGTCTTTACAAAAACAAAAAAATAATTTAGGGAAGTATAGAAAAGATTAGAAAATTTTCCATCAAAATGAATAAAAATAAACTATTGGCAGCAATAGGAAAAGGTTTAGCTATTTAGAAAATTCATTTTATGTGGGGAGGAATTATGGTACAGTGGTTTGGAGTCACAGGTCTTAGATATAAATCAGAGCTCTGTACTACCTGTGTGACTTTCAGATCAAATTTATAAAGCACTTAAACACAGTGCCTGGCACAAAGTGGGCTTTTAATAAACACTTCTTCCCTTCCCTCTTTTTACCCTTGCCTCTATAGCTCAACTCATAATCTCTGTGATTGTCTACACCACCGCCCCCTTCTAGGGCCAATATTCCCTAATATTTGTTGTATTCTCTATAGAACACAAACTACTTGGACATAGGAATTACTGTATTTCACTTTTATATTTGTATCCTCAACACAGCCTAGGACCTGGTACAAAGGAGGTGCTTACTAAATGCTATTTGACTGATAAGAACTTTGGGAGGGGAGAGGGCATTGACTCTTTTCAACCATTAAGGGATCTTTCACATTCCAAATAACTGGTCCAAGTTACACGAAAACTTTCCTTAGGCCACGAGGGGAAATTAGCACCTCCTTAAGCACCAAACTTATAACTAAAATAAACTGACAGACACTGGGAAGATTGAAGCCCAGATAATTTCCTCAGAATATAAAAAATGTTTATAGTAAATTAGTCCTAGTGTCCTGAAAACCATTGGGAACATTCAGAGTTGTATCAATCAATAAACATTTTCTTAAGTGCCTTACCATGTGCCAGGTGCTAAGTGCATAATTTTTAAAACAAAGAGAAACTAGATAATTCAGCAGCTTTCAATACGAGATATCTAAAACAGACAATTATCCAAATGTCTTGGAAGCTATTTTCAACATCATTCTGAATATATTAATGATTTCATTAAAAAACTCATGGATATCTAAATAAGAGGAAATATTTAATAATCTAATTTGATATATCTATCAAAAGTGAAGATGAATGAGAAGACAAATTTATTTAAAATGCTTTTCTCAACAGAAACAATACTTCAGAGGAAATAAAAAGAGAATACAGAAAATAAGTCTTAAAGAAATAACAGTCAAATCTGTTCACTGACTGGTTCTAGACTTCTGTCAAAGAAGTCTAAGTTGACAACATGTCAAGTAAGATATATAAAAAAAAATGAGGTACACAGGAACAGATTTTCCAATAAAGAAACAAGGGATTAAATACATCTACCTCATCTGATTTAACAGGAAAGATGATAAAGCATTCTCTTTCTCTCTATCTATATAGATGCTTATCTATAGCTCTAATTATTTAGGAAAATGAAGCTGCTAGTACAACTTTAATAAATTTAACCCAAAGCTTTAAGTTCCATATCATTTGCACTTGATAGAAAAGACTAATGAAATAGAAGATATTTTTAAAAGACCATTATGCCTACTAAAATATTTCAAAAAATATTTTATTAAAGAAATAATGTTATGACACAAATCAATCTTTTGGGGAAAGCATGAATTATCCTGAGTCACTTCTACTAATTCAATTAACTGCCCTGCTGCCAAATCTTCATTTTACTTTATGTCACAGGGATAGCCTTTGTAGTCTCTATTTTCTCAACATATTTAATTCATTCTCTGACAATAAAATTGGTAACAGGAAGGCTCAAAATCTATCAGATCAAGAGTGATTATGGCTGGGGCAGCTAGGTGGATAGAGCACCAGCCCTGAAGTCAGGAGGACCTGAGTTCAAATCCGGCCTCAGACCAAACACTTGATACTTACTAGCTGTGTGACCCTGGGCAAGTCACTTAATACCAATTGCCTAAAAGCAAAAAAAAAAAAGTGATTATGACCAACAAGGAAGCTAGAGGTCAAATTCTAGCTGGTACTACATATTTTAGAAGAAATTAAAAAAGCAAAATTTCAACCTCAAAATAAGCTTATAGAACACACTAAATGATTCTACAATGAAGTTTCATTTGTTGGCTTACATATGATCTTATGAAATAATTAGAATAAGTTTTAAAAAATTAGGTAGTTTAGAAAACCTCAATTGTTGAGAAGACAAGAATCCAACATTTAGCATATTGTGCTAAAGTGCATGCTAGCTTTACAAACTGACAATCATGATGTACCAAAATACAAAAGAGAAAAAGCAAACCTCAAAACTGTAGCAAGAAGGGTAAATAGAAATACTGTATTAGAAAGTATATCTCCTTTAAACAAATAAAATGTAAATGCCTTGAATAGTTGAGTTACTAAAAAAAACTACAGCAGACGTGGTTAGGTCCTATTTTGGTTGACTATACCATGCAAAATATCTCTTTTCAGTTCAGCCTTCTTAAATACAACCCATTAACCATTCTGCACTATCAATATAAAACTAAGTAAACCAAGTTATTATCATCATTGTAAAGGTTTAATCTCCCTTTATTTGTGACTAATATTTTTAAAGTATGTTAGAAAACATGCAAAATAGTTTCCCTAATTGAAGACTGAATTTTCTTTCCGTTATGGAGTATAGCAATTGAAGATATTGCTCTTCCCCTTGTTCCCCCCCCCCATAATACCCAAAATACATTTCTGCTTTGTAAATTCTAAAGTTTCCTAAATTATAAAGAGATCTTTAGTAAACATCTGGGAAACTTGGCAACAGACATACTAGTAGCCAAACTCTTTACAACAGAAATGTTTACCTTATAATTATATATTAAAAAAAAAAACAACCTGGAGATATGTGTGTGTGCGTGTGCGTGTGTGTGTGTACACACACATACACACACGCACACACATATACAAAAATAAAAAACCAACCAAAACACTGGACTTAGATTCAGGAGACCTGGGTTCAATTCCTGGCTCTTAACAAAATGTGTTTATCTTTAAAGATCTGGATCTCTATTTCCTCATCAGTAAAATAAGGAAGTTGGACTGGATGGCCCCTTTCAGTGCTAAAATGCTATGGTTCTGGGGCAGCTAGATGGCACAGCGGATAGAGCACTGGCTCTGGATTCAAGAGGACCCGAGTTCAAATCCAACCTCAGACACGTAAAGCTTACTAGCTGTGTGACCCTGGGCAAGTCACTTAACCCGACTGCCTAGTCAAAAGGGGAAAAAAAAAAAAGCTATGGTTTCTCTGACCAGGTCAGTGAACTGGAAATTTAAAGACCTATTTTCTGCTCCAGATTCACATTCACTTCTTTTTGTAATTTTTGACAGGTCATTTCTTTAGGGCCTGAAAGACCTCTCAAATGTGCACAATGGTGATAACCTTATCCCCATCAGAGACAATGAAGATATCTATGATCAACACTCTTAGATTTAATGTATTATGTATCTTAAATCCTATGTTACAGAATGGATGCCATTAAGATGTAACTGAGATACAACAGGCACTTCAAAACTTTCATTTTATACTATTTTTCCTACATTAGTAGGGCAGTCCTTCCATACAGAAAACAAAACCACTTATCTAGGGCCCAGCAATACGAGTTACTCATGTGTAATAAACACATATTTCTTTCATGATATTCTAGGAACCACCAATTAGACTTTAAGTTTCCTGTAGGCAAAAACTTGCCTTTTCTCTTTACAATCTCTACAACTCTCAGAACAACACATGCAGTAAGTGCTCAATAAGTGGTTAGTTAGTTGATTTAGTGCAGGGATGTCTGCTGACTTTGCCTTTTCTGGATGCTATGTGAACCTTTAGTTACCTACTTAATGGCTGCCTGTTACTCCAGTGTTCAAAGACAGCTAATTAAAGAGAAAAGGACCTGCTTAGTTCTAGGGTTCTCCCTCCGTGGCGATCTTCAAGGGGCCCTACATTTCTGATAGAGACAGATCCTTTTCAATGGTCAAAGTGTTAGGTTATTTCTTTCAGTCCAAGAGGGTATGAAAACTGGCCACAAGCAAGTTCCCATCCCTCCAAGATTGGTACCAACACACTAAAAGGAGTTAATACAGTCTTTTTCAGCATCCTCCTGAAAATGGTTTTGGATTATGGATTTTATATGCTGCAGCAGAAATATACCAAATATTCTAATGAAACAAAAAGTTAATGGAATTCCCTAAGTGCCTAACCTCTTAATAGTGGATCTCTTGAGCACTAGGGAGGAGAGAGTCCTCTCTGTGTGTCACATAAATGGCAAAGAAGTTGATTTTGTTACTTCCAGATGGGTATATTTTTGTCCCTCCACCTCACCCAACACAGCATTTGTTCTTGGTGACAAGCCCAATTTATAAATTAAGATAATAATACTTTCAAGTTAAATACTTCACCAAAAAAAGTACCACTGATAATGCTATAATGTAACACAATGAAATACTTAAAAACACATATTTAAAGTTCCCTTATTTCCAACACCTCAGAAAATTTTACCTCGTTGCAACTTAGAGAATAAGGTCTATTTCTAGTTACTAATTCTCCACGACTGTTTGCCACTAAATTAAATATTAATCTTAGACATTTCCTAAATAGTATGTCTCTATACAGCACAAATCATACCATCAACAGTTACCTGGTAAACAAGGCTTTTTAATTTGATGAAAACACAAAAACCTAGCAAACTCATTTATACTCAACACGGATTTTATTGCCCAATTATTTATTAACACAGCAGTTTAAAACTGAAGATCAGTAGGTTCTAGAGTAAATCTGAAGCACCAAAAGTTGGTAACATATATAGACCAAAACTAAAATTTTAAAAAGCAAACACATATTAACATACATGCTAAAACACATACCAAACAATACATAAGCATGCACACAGCTACCTACACAAACACACACATACATACACTCACTCTCTTCACAGGATATAAGCATTCTCAAAAACTAAAAAGTATCTTCATCCTAATTTTTAAATTTCCTTTGAAAATCCATTATTGGAGAGAATCATCATTTTAGGTCATCTAGTCCAATCACTTTCCCTCATTACCATCACTAAAACACAAATATCCTCTACAATACCTCTCCCCCAGAGCATGTGTCCATAGAAAAAATAAAACTGATTCATGTCATAGCCTAAGGGAGAGCCATTTAGTACTTCCATTTGCTCTGACAACCTGAGATAACTCTCCTTAAAGGTGAGATTGTGAAAATGAATTGCACTTTTACCCGAAGGTGTTTATATTTAAAATTTCAAGACCTGTTATCAGCTGCCAATCACTATATACATGATTGGGACAAGTGTCCTAATGAAAAAGGAGTTTGAAAAATGTATCCATCACAATATGGTACTTCAAGGCATAAGTGGAGGGTTGAACACAAACCTGCATAAAATAAGTAAAAATTATTTTCCAATACTAAAGCAGCTCTAATTTAAAAACTCCCTCCCCCCCCATTTATTTTAGAACATAATGAAATTAAGCACATGCCTGCATTTCAACACAAGAATTTGTAGTCCTTGTATATACAGCTAAAATAAGAGTTTGGCACTTAGCAGCTTGGTTATTGCATACTTGACTGTGTAGCAAGTCCACTTCACAAACATTACATAATTTGGGTAGCTACACTGTAAACCGATTTTTAAAAAATCATTTTTATTAAGACTTATTTACCGAATTACATAGGTATAGAAATATTGCAAGTAGGAATGTATTAACTAAAAAAAAAATCCTGTGAATTTTCTCCTTTGAAGGGATTCTTCCCCTCAAATATGAGCTGCTATTGTTATTCCTACCATTGTTTGGAGAAGCATTATAAAATCTTGAGAAAATTACATACATGCATAAAAATAAAGAAACATAGTGGCTTTAACAAAGATACCAAAGTCTCCTTTGAAACAAATCTCAACTACTATTTTTGAACACTTGCCAAACACTCCATTTCTAGTTGGGAAAGCACCTGGCACGAGATATTGCAGCCTGGAGATCATCTTTGGAGATTTTTTTTCTTCTATAACTAGTACCTAATTTTAAAAGTAATTTCTATTTCTTACTGTGTCATCTTCTTGACTTTACTTGAAATGTGTCTTCATTGTTGACTTGCTTTGATTAAAAGATAACATCATCATGAAAATTTGCACAGAACAACTGGTGTTGGGATACACCAACAGGAAAAAAAAACGTGGTTTAATTTAAACAATTATCTAACATTATTGTCAAGCAAAGTCAGCCCACTGGCTTCAGTGCAGCATATAAATTTCCAGTGTGAAATACAAAACCTGGTAACTTCACACACAAACATCTCAGGGCCAGAAGGGAAAGATACTGTGCTATATGCAGCCTTCTTCAGGATTCTTTTGGCACAGTCTTTATAGTGCACACCTGGTCAGAAAGTACATATACCTGAATCCATTTCAGTAAAACTATGTTATCTTCTGACAGGCATGGGAGAAGGGGAAAAAAAGCACATCAACCACCCTTTTACTTTTTGCTAGTTGGTAGACAAACATGATGGAAAAATTTTTAAATGCATGATGACAGCATATAAATATTTCACATAAAAAGTTTCTACAAGAAACTCTTGCTTTTAATTTTATAATCAAAGTGTACCATTTATTAAATGTTGAGATAGATCCTGCTAGTTAGGTCTGACACTAGCAGAATTTGCAACCATATACTAAGAGAAATAAATGGTAAAAAAAAAACGCAATAGAAACCAAACATATCAAGCTGGTCAGAAAGTTTGCATAAAGTTCAGATTATGAAGCAATCATAAAGCCCATGATTTCAAATGGAGGATGTAAGAGTTAAGAGTGGAAAAAAAGAACATACTAAAATAAAGGTTCTGCTAAACTGAATGGTCTTTTTTGCTAGGGAAGAGGTGGAGTTTTTAGGGGGAAGAGTAGAGAAAAGGAAAGAGGATTTGTTTTTTTCCCCCAACCATGATATGTAAGCTCAGTTTGTTATATTATCGACAGAATAAAATTAAGTTGAGGTAGGTAGTTTATTCTACCAGCCAATCTTTACTCACACCACTACAGTTTGACTAAGAAGTCCCACTGGTGAACAATACTGGGAAGAATCTACTGCTTAGACAAAAATGCATTCTTAACAGTGTTCAAACCAAACAGCAGTAAACAAGACTTCATGTGCTTTAGAATAAATATTTCCTTAAAAACATGGTTTTTAAACCCAAGACATGTTGCCTGGACAATTTCCTTTAGAACTTAGCAGCCTTAAATTTTGTTTTTCTGACACAGCTTTTTGTCAATATTTTTCTTGCTTATTAAAATTCTCAGACCTATCAAAACAATAAGTTTTGGTCAACTGATGATGGAAGAAGGGTATTTCCTAAGATCCTTCATGACTCCAAATATGCTAACCCAGAAATAAAAATCACATGAAAGATGTTCATAATTTCAAGTCTTTGAGAGGATTCTGGGAAGATGATGGAGTAGGTCAGAAAACTTTTGGCTCTCCAAATTTCCTCCTTAAAAAAGATAGAACATTGCCTCAGAAGAAATGTAGAGCAGCGGAAATAAACAAAAGTCAGAGTAGAGCAGTTGTTCTCCTAAGACAACTTAAGAAGACCCCCAGGAAAGATTCGACCTCCAGGGTATAGGTTCAGCCTGAGTGAAGTACAAACACCTCCAGGCCAACTCTGTGGAATCATCAAACAATAAATGGGGGTGGGGTGGGGTGGGGGGGCACACAGCTGGGGTTGGGAGGCAGCCACAGCCTTAGAAACTTTTCATCTCACAGACAGTGTGTGGGGGGTCTGACTGCTGAGTAGGAGAAGATTGAAGGACCCTCCACTGTTGAGGAACTCCAAGCACAGCTGTGCTGACCAGACACATCTCCCAGGCTGGGCTGCTGCTATGGGGGAGAAGGAGCTAGCAGCTACCTGGTGAGTACAGTAGCAGAAGGGTATAGACCCTGCTGGCTGTGGGCACTTCCAGGAGACCACAGTCCCTGGTTTCAGTTCCAAGGCAGAGAAGACAACTGTAGTTTGCAGCCATTGGAGAGACCATAGTAAGCAAGATCATTTTTGGGACAGCATGGCTGGGGGCCCTAGTTGTAGTTTAAGAGTGGAGAGGACAGCCCAAGGCTGGGCCCTAAGAGAGACCACAGAAAATAATACTAAGAAGGATGTGAGGCTTGGAGCATCATTCCCCATATCTTGGGACTAGAACTTGATTAACACTAATAGCTGCTAAAAACAAAATAAAACAAAAATAAATAAATAAAAATGAGTAAGCAAAGGAAAAAGAACCCAACCATAGATAGCTACTATGGGGATAGAGAAGATTTGGGTTCATATTCAGAGGAAGATAACGGAGCATAATTTCAAGTCTTCTCTTGGCATAAGAGAGAAGTCAGCAGCTTCTTTAAATTCATGAGGGCTGCCTCCTGAATCATGTATATGCTGAATCTTTAGACTATTCAGATGGAGTGCTTAAAAAAGATAGAATTCTATTATTACCTTAGTTGCAACTGATCATAATATATATATATATATATATATATTATATATATGTTTAAATATATATATTTAGAGTCTCCTGACAGAGCACTAAGCCAATAGACCTGGGTCCACATTCACCCTCTCAGGCATAAGCAAAGACCTTAAGTTGTTGGGCAGAGCTGGACATGATTGCTGTAGAAAAGCATTCATTGTATGCTTAGAGACATTGGTTTACATACAGATTTTCTGTATACCAAAGCCACCTACTTTAATATAGCAGACTTAGTAAAAAGGAGTTCCCTTTGGGGAAAATGCACCTTAGTGTTTTAGTTTTAACATTCTATTAATCCCCATTTCCCTTCTGTTTCCTGGTACTGATGATTCTCCATCAGTCCACAAACTTCTGACTTAATATAAAAGTTCATTCATTCACCTAAGGTTGTTTTGGAATAGTTACCTTCTCCCCTAGCAAGAGCTAAAGCTCCAGCTTTTAAGCATTACAAAACCCCAAGAGTTACCATACCAAATCACAGTGTAGAGAGTTAAGTTTTAGTTGTCCTCTCTGTTCTGCCTTATCTAAAGCTAGGTTTTGGTGCACTATGTCAGGTTGTTGCTTCTATCCCATATCCAAGAGAGCCTTCAAGGAGAAGGAACACGGATGCGGAACAGTCCTTGCTGAAGCTGCAGTCGGAAAAGCTTGCAATTTGCAATTCGCAAGGCAGCACAGCCAGTGCGGCGAAGGTCTGATGGAAAGAGTGGTTTTGTGTGGTGCCAAGTGCCTGTGCTTCTTTTAAACTCACGAACGTAGTCATAGTTGGTACCTAAATACAAATGAACAAATATAAATAAATATTCTAAAAATCATTCAGGAATAGTTTCAACAAAATGCACCGTTAACATTCTAACCTGTATCAAGATCTCCAATCACATAGATACTGGCCCCAATAGGAACAGCTCCATAAACAAAGGAGGAACTTGCTGGGATGCATAAATTTTGGTCAGTAAGATAAATCCATCTGAAAGAAAATGCATTTCTTTTTAGAAAAGTCAAAAGAGGGGCAGCGAGGTAGTGTAGTGGATAGAGCTCCGGCTTGCAGTCAGGAGGATCTGAGTTCAAATCTGGCCTCAGACACTTGACGCTTATTAGCTGTGTGACCCTGGGCAAGTCACTTAACCCTACTACCTAGCAAAAAAATAGAAACAAACAAACAAACCAAAAAACCAAACCAAACAAAAAAAAAGTCAAAAGAAGAGGCATGACAGCCAGACAGGTATTGGAAAAGTCTAAGTCCACACAAGATTTACCCAAGTCACTGTCAAAACATTATCGGTTATATCTTGAAGCCTTTCCAAAAAATATGTTGGATGACAGATCAAGTTAGACAACTTCAGATCTAGTCTAACTCCAGATTTCAAGGATTCTAATGGGAAAGGAAAAATAGGCATATTTCTCCCCAACTTCACTTTCAAAACTTCAAAACTCTACAACACATTTGCCATAATTACATTCAAAATAAAATTTAAATATCACTTCTACACAATACAATGAATAAATCACTTAAGTTTATTTCCCATTTCCCAACCTAAGCATTTACCTGGCCTGTAATGCCCTGGTCCCTCTTTCTCTTCTTGCCTAAATGCTATCCATTCTCCAAAGCCAAGCTGAAGTCCCACCTCTTCTGTGAATTTAGTCAATCAATCAATATCTGTTTAGCACCTATGTGACAAGCACTATGCTAAGTACTTGGGGATACAAAGAAACATAAAAACAGCCCAAGCTCAGAGTCTAATGGAGGAAACAAGATGAAGACAACTATGTACATCTAGTTATATAGAGAATAAATTGGAAATAATTAACAGAGGGAAGGCACTGGAATTAAGAGGGGTTGCAAAAGGCTTCATGTAGAAGGTAGGATTTTAGCTGGGAACTGAAGGAAGCTAGGTAAACCAAGAAGCACAGATGAAGGAGAGAATTCCATATAGGGGGATGGGCAAGGAAAATGCTCAAGAGGACAGAAGGAGTGACTTGTGGAGGATCAGAAAGAAAACCAGTGTCACTGGATCGAACAGTATGTTGGGGAGTGAGAAAGGGTGTAAGGTATAAAAAAAAGGTGAGGAGGAGGTTATGAAGGGTTTTCAATGCCAAACAGAATTTTTTAGTTGATCTGGAGATGATAGGGAGTTTAAGAAGTAGGGGGTGACATGGTTAAACCTGCATTTTAGGAAGAACATTCTGACAGTTGAGTAGAGCATAGACAGGTGAGAGACTTGAGGCAGGAAAACCAACCAGTAGACTACTGAAGTAGCCCAGGCAAGAGATGATGAGGGTCTACAAAGAAGGACAACCTTAGAAGTGGCAACGGGGAGCAAGGAACATTCCAACTCCCCCACCTTGACCAGTGAGTTGGAGATGAGTGACAATACTGGAAAAAACAGCCAGAGAGGCAGCGTCATCAGGAGGGAGCCAGGTCTCAGTGAGGGCCAGAAGACAAAAGGGTGAGAAAGGAAGAGATTTAAGACGAAAGCAAGTTTGTTGTCTATGAAGCAGACATTCCAGAAAGCAAGGTGGAAAGAGTATGCAGCTTTAGAGTGGGATGTTGGAGGGTTCAGGGGAATGGGAATAAGGGATCAAGCAGAGTGGATCAAATATATATATCTCTTTTAGTGATTCAGAGTATTTTTTTCATATTGCTGTTGATAGGTTGGATTTCTTCCTTGGAAAATTGCTGTTCATTTCCTTTAACCATTTATCAACTGCAGAATGGCTATTACTTCAATAAATTCGAAATGAGATATCAGAGAAATTTGCTGCCAAGATTTTCCCCACATTAAATGTTTCCCTTCTAATTTTAGTTGCACTAGGTTTGTTTGTCAAAACTTTAAAAAAAATTTTGTAATCAAAACTAGCCATTTTATCTTGTGTGATCCTCTCCATCCCTTTTCTGATAATCAACTCTTCCCCTACCCTTAGATCCAAAAGGAAAACTTCTTTGCTCCTCCGATTTGTTTATTAAATGATCTTTTATATCTTAAAAAAACAAAACAAGTGTATTATTTTTAACATAAGTTAAATTTTTTAAAGTTATGAATTCTCTTTTTCCTTCCTACTCCTCTCCCATTCATTGAGAAGTAATGTGATATAAATTATACCCATGAAAGCATGCAAAGCATATTTCCATATTAGTCATGTTGCAAAAAACAGCAAGAAAAATAAAGACAATGAAAAAAACATGCTTCAATCAGCAACCTTTTATACCTAAATCATGTACTGATTTGGAACATATAGTATATGGTGTCATAAAATCTAATTTCTGTCCAGATTGCTTTCCAGTTTTCCCAACAGTTTTGGGGAATGGCTGAACACATAATTATGAATGCAATGGAATTCTAGTTGCTATAAGAAAGATGAAGGGATGGTTTCAGAGAAACATGGGAGAACATTTATAAAATGATGCCATTAAGTAAGCAAAACAATTTACACTTTAACAACAATGTAAAGACAAACAACTTTGATCAATGGAATAACCAACCATGATTTCAGAGGAATGATGATGAAACATGCTACTGATACCTCAACAAAAAGGTGATGGGACTCAATAGAGACATATATTTTTTGAAACGGTTAATGTGAGAAATATTTTTACTTTATTATATGTCAACTCTAAAATTCTAGTTCTAATGAAAAAGGTCAATAATAAAAAAGATGGCAGAAAGCTACATCTTTTCTGACTGTTGAATGAACAATGAAAAAAAGTGGAACAAAAAGTGAAAAATGGAAACAACATGCTACATTTACACATCAAGGTACAGGAAAATGGTAAAGTGCCTTGCAAGCTTCACGAGTAAAAGGACCATGCCTTATTTAATATTTATATCTCCCCTAACACCTAGCATGTTATTTAATGGAACTAAACTATGAAATAAAGGTTCAAGCTAAAAGTTTGGAAGGACGGTAGTTAAGAATAGTAATTGAAAAGCATAATAAATGGCACAAAATAAGTATTTAAAGCAGAGCTATTAATGAAACTAATTAAATTAAAAATAAATCAGCACACACTCAGCACCTTGAAGGACCAACCAGTTTAAGCCATATGGGTGATTCTAAAAGCAAAGTGGTACAGATGCAACCCTGTCATTGACGGATACGGATCACACATAGAGCTATTACATGAATAACAGCCACTCATTATCTAATTACTATTAGCAGAAATATAAAATTTGAGTTCTTTTATATGAATATACCTTGGGGCAGCTAGGTGGCACAGTGGATTGAGCACTGGCTCTGGAGTTGGGTGGACCTGAGTTCGAATTTGGCTTCAGACATATAACACTCACTAGCTGTGTGACTTGGGGCAAGTCACTTAACCCCAACTGCTTCACACACACACACAAAAATTACAGGTCTTATATGAATATACCTTGCTGACACTTAGAAAACACAAACATTCTTTACATTATTCTATGTAAAAGGGGTCCAGAACACATTACAAACAGGAACAACATGACTAGGATATTTTGTTATCGTTAGAAGACAAGGCTATTACAATAAAAAAATATAACAGAGGAATACTGAGAGAGGCAAGGAGGAATTAACTGTGGGTAGTAGGAGTTGGCCAACAACAAGATAAAAATATGATTAAGTTCAATGTGTAAGAATGAGAAGCAATGACAAGAATTTGGGGCAACAAGAAGAACCTTTAAGAATCTAGGCAAGGGGGTCTTATCCTGGGCTCTATGAACTTGTTTTTAAAAAACATTTTTTGTTACTGTATTTTAATCTGATTGGTTTCTTTGTTAATCCTATAGCTTTTATTTTATGCACTTAAAAATATTTTGAAGATTTCCAGGTTTCACCAGATTGTCGGAAGGGTCTATGCCTAAAAAAAAAAATAAGAACTCTTGTTGCAGGTACATGCCAGGAATAGTATGGATATGTTATTGTAGAAACTGCTATATTAGATATGTTACATATTTAATAGGGTATGAAAACTTGATCTACCATTGCTCGTTATTGTAATTATCTTGGAAATATTCAGGAAATGATCCAAGTATCACTTTATACCTTTGGCTAGCAGACATTATGCTCTGAGTCTAAGGCACACTTGGAGTTAAAGACTTCAATGCCCTTTTTAAACCCCCTAAAACATGTATAAACCTTTCTAACTAAAATAGTAGTCCATTTCCCTTTCAATGTGGCTTCACAGTTATACTAGAGAAAAATGACTTAAAACTATTAAAATGAAATCTTCCCCAAATTCATTAGGACTTTTGTACCTTTAATGAACGGTTTTGAAACCACCACAATAACTTACTTTTGTACCCCTTTCTAAGGATATGGAATTCAACTCGGTGCTATAGCACCCCCTCCTGGTAAACTTTGAGATCAAAGTCAAAATTAAAATGTTGATCAATCATCTCAGTCATGTCTGACTGTTTGCGATGCCATTTGGGATTTTCTTGGCAAAGATACTAGAATGGTTTGCTATTTCTTTCTCCAGCTCATTTTATAGATGAACAAAATGGAGGCAAACAGGTTAAATGACTTGCCCAGGGTCACACTAGCTAGTAAGTGTCTAAGGTCACATTTATACTTGGGAAGATTAGTCTTCTTGACTCTAGGCCTGGCACTCTATCCACCGTGCCACTTAGCTGTTCCTGAATATTTATAGTCATTGATAGTTTAAACAAACATACTATACATCCTCTATATATTTGAGACCTGTTAAGTGCAAGTACAGGTATACACATTCTCTCAAAATAAAATACCCAAAAACCCCCCATTTTTAAAAAAATGTCACAGAATAATTAACATTTTAAGATTATAATCTGGGCAAATCCCTAGATTTTACAGACAAGGACACCTGGGCTGAGAGCAGTAAATGTTCTGTCCAGTGTCACACAAAGCTGAGAGAAATAAGTGTTCTGTCCAGTGTCACACAAGTAATGACAAAAGTGTTCTTCCAACTTCCAAGGTAGCACCACTCTTTAACATTCTTATGAAGGATATAGTCTAACCATGAATAGATAATTTACCTTTTGAATTCATCATGGTAGAATTCTGACTTGCATGTCACCATCTCATTGGTTTGACTTTCTTGGTCACGAGTTCTGACTCCACCAAATACATAGAGTTCCAAGGCAACTCCACAAGCTACAGCCCCAAATCTAATAAGCCAAGAACAGTGTTAAATACTAAACACACATGTTGGTTTGTACCAGTTACCTTAAGTCTCCAGCTTGCTCTAATTCTGTAAAGTGCTAAGTTTTCTGATGAACATGTGATTTTCCTTCTTTTTTTGTGTGCTTATGGACTGAATGAATACTATTCACATGATTAATATTACAGAAAAGCAAATCATCAGCTTTCAAATGTAAAATGTGACCTAAAGTTTGTGTGATGGACTAAAAATGTAGGAAACACTCAAGAGTCTAGTGAGAATTATTACCTGAAGTATTCAGAAAGTCAGAAATTACCCCTACTCTCCAACTAATTTATTATTTATCGAACACCCAGTGTACAAAGCATTATACTAATAACATCAGTTTCCATTATTTTGGTTAGTTGTAAATTCCTTGAGACTCAGACAACATAATTAACATAAAACAAGAACTATCTAAATATATAAGGAATGTGTGAGACAGTTCACATTTAGCATTTTAAAGTAAAATCTGAGTTGGATCAAATAAGATATATACATAAAGTTCTTTGGAAAACTTAAAAACACTAAGTATTAGCTATTATTATTATTTGAAAGAACTAGAGTCAAGAAGAATTTGAGGGTATGAAAGATGGAGTAGAATTACTATTACTTGATTAAAGCTTAACTTATGAGAAGAGTTGAAAGAAGTAGACTAGGAAGGGGGCAGGAGAATAAAGGCAATAGGAATAACAAAGAAGTTTACCTGATTTTAAGTGACAGGTAAAATGAGGTAAGAACAGGTTATCTAGTACTACTCATATTGTGTTGTAGTTTCATAAAAGGTTAGCAAAGACATAAAGGTTATCTATTCCACAGAGAACTTTTTATCATGTAAGACATTATAAGCAATGGTCTTTCCTACATGGATGCCTAATAAAGGAGAATCTTATTAGTAACTTGCTTAAGTAGCAATGATACTCAGTTTTTTCTAACCTAATTTACTTATGTTTTTAAAAACTTAAAAAACAATTTTTCCAATTCTCTTCTCAGGGAATGTTGACAACAACTGATCACATTTTCCCCACATAAATCTTTTAAGAAATCTAGATCCTTAAAAACAGTTAAGTCTTCACTATCATTTGTCTCTAAATTCTCTCCCTTTTTAAAATGGTCTTGGTTACTGCATCTTCTATTCTTCCCACTTTTCCTAAGATGTACAAACTAAGATTAAATGTAATGCTATACTAGGAAACTTACTCGTAGATGATTACTTCACAATTCTCACAAGTTAAATACGACTTTCATTAGCATAACCATTCACCAAAATAGCCATTCATATCAGCCCCTTGTCTCTTCCCTGGGTACCTTACTTTCCCTTCCTTCTGCCATATGTGCTTATTACATTCACTATTTTATATATATGCAGTTTATAAAAATAAGGAAGCAAGAAATGGTTCCTAATTCTTATGCAATCAATGGCATATTTTATTCTCTAAGAAATATCTTAATCCTATTTTTAAAAAGCACAAACAAAAAAATCTATCTAGAGAAATGGAACATAAGCTAAACAAGCTAGTCTTAACACAAAAACGTGCTTTGATGATAAGAATTCTTTTAAAATGACTAACATAAACTCTGAGATACTTAATTTTATTTTCTAAACAAAGTTTAAAAAAAAACCTTTTGCTTACCTGCTTTCTTTTAATGGACAAATAGCAGTCCATTGCTGGGTCCTAGGATCATAACACTCCACAGATTCAAAAAGTTTTCCATATGATCCTCCCCCCATTGCATAGATTTTCTTTTTCATAGCTGCATAGCAGCCAATCTTAAAAGAAAGAAAAGAAACTTCATCAAATGTAATACTTGCCAATTTAAAATTGTCTATTAGCAAGGAGCCATTTCAGAAATGTAGTAGTTTCAAAAAGTAAAGCTATACTGTCGCCATCATTAAAATTCAATAAATCGAAAATATGTTTCAATAAGTAATGTGCGTAATTTTGATCATCAGAGAGAGAACAGGTTATGACATAAGCCTCAACAAATGTTCAGGACCATTTTATCTCAATACTTGCCTATAACACACACACACACAGAGCCATTATCTTGGGACAAAGCAGAAGTGAAGAAATGGATATACATTATCATATATAAAAATTAAGAACTCCTAATGAGTCACTGAGTTTACTCAGAATATACTTGCTGTGTAATTGTGGCATTCTAGATGTAAAAAAAACCAATTTCTTTCAGCACTTTTCTCCCTAAGAAAACAACCGTGTCCACATTTGGTTACTAAATGTGTATAGAGTGAATTTAACATCTTACTGGGCTAAAACTCTAAAAGAGTCTGCTATTTTGGTTTATACCTATTAAATCCTAAGGTTGGGTTCCAATAGGAAAAGGCTTCCTCTACAAGCAATGTCAAAATAATTATCTGGAGATGAAGAATATGAATTTGTCACAAAAGCAGAGACTTCAGAGAAAATAGTTCAATAGTGCTTAATGCAAGGTACAGTTTTTACCTTTCTAACCATGGTCAAATCAGGCTGTTTTGTCCAGGTTTTAGAATATATATCATAACATTCCATGGAAATCAGCTCTTTCTCACCATCATCACCACCCAAAACATATAGCATTCCATCTATCTCCACAATTCCAAAATTTTGTCTTGCCTAAAAGGACACCAAAGAAATAATTTCATTTTCAAAATAAGTCATATAATTGTGAACTATATACTCAAGAGAAGCATTATAATGTAAAAAGAACAGGGATTGGCCTTAATGTAAAAAAAAAAAAAGTTGGGTTTGAAACCCATCTCCAAATACTTACTAGTTGTGTGACCATGCACAAGCCACAACCTCTCTGAAACCTCAGCTTCCTCATATGTAAAATGGGTGCGCACTCCCCCACCCCGCAGAACTTACCTCATAGTTATGTAAAAGCACTGTATAAAAGTCATCTGGTATGGTTATGAGCTCAGAAAACTGATGACGAAAGTTAATAGTCACAATATTAAATGTAACATCATTTTAAAATTTAATTTCATTCTGTCACAGGGAGTATCAGGGTCAGAAGTCAAAATTCATATTCCATTACTATTCTCTTCTATGGAATCCTCTAAACTATTTCAAATTTCCTTGAATCTAAGGATCCATTTTATTGAAAAGGAATAGATTTACAGAAACAGACAATCTCAGGGGAAGAAAGAGCCTCAGGGTTCATCTAATTTAACTTGTACTTAAACAGAAATCTTCTCTACAACATCCATCCCAATAAGAAGTCATCTGACCTCTGTCAGAAAACCACCAGTGATGTGAAACCGACCACTACCATCACCACTAAGGGCAGCTCATTCCATTTTTGGACAGCTCTTGATTTATCTGAAACTTTTCTTTATATCTAACCTAAAACTGCCTCTCTTAAGGTGACAGATTAAGAGGGGGTAGTATAGTACTACATACATATCTATCAATATATACATATCTATCAATATCTATATCTATATCTCAAGAGTGTGAAAACAAAAAACCTGATAGTAACTGCATTTAATTAGCCATGGCCAAACTATTTCTGGAATATGATATATAGTTCTGGACACCACATTTCAGGAAGCCCTTGACAAATGGAAACTGTCCAAAAGGAGTTAACTAGGATGGTAAAGGGACTCAAACTCTGTCATATAAGAAATGATTAAAAGACCTGGAAATATTTAGTATGAAGAGAAGACTCTGGGGAATGGTAACATTATTGTTATATTATGTATTAAATATCTTGCAATATTAAAACATCTGCAGGTCTATTATGTAGAAGAGGGATTACATTGGCTTGCTTGGTCTTAACTGCTACATGAGGGAGAAATTAGAGATCAAATTTCACTTCAATCTAAGGAAAAGAATTCTTAACAACTAGAGCTGGTTCTTCTGGAAAGTAATTTTGACACTTCTCAAAAGTTACTAAACTATGCACACCATTTGACCCAGCTACATCACTACACTACTACCAAAAAAAGAGGGAGAAGATCCATCCATACAAAAATATTTACAGTAGTTCTTTCTGTGGTAGCAAAGAACTGAAAACTAAGAGGTTGCCCATCAATTTAGGAATGGCTGAACAAATTATAGTATATGAATGTAATGGAATGCTATTGTACTAGAAGAAATGATGAAAGGGATAGTTTCAGAGAAACCTGGGAAGACTTGTGTGAAGAGTGAAATGAACAGAACCAGGAGAACAATTTATACTATACTAACAACACCATGAAGACGAATAACTCAAATACTTATGAACTCTAATTAATGTAATAATCACAATTCCAGAAGAATGGTAAAGCATGTTACTCATCTCCAGAGGGGTGATGGACTCAAGATGCAGAAAGAAACACATTTTTACACATGGCCAATGTGAAAATTTGTTTTGCTCGGCTATGCATGGTTGATTTTCTTTTCTTTTTCAATTGGGATGAGGGAGGAAAAAAGATTTTTATTTGAAAAATAAAATAAAAAAATTAGAGCTGTTCAAAAATGGAATGACTTATCATTGGAGGTTAAATGGACATTAAATCATCACTCCTTAGGGATGTTGTAGAAGAGACTGACACTTCAGGTATGTGTTGGACGTTAAGGTCCCTTTTCAGTTCTATGATTCTATGATTTATTAAAGACAGATGGGGATTCAAGTGCAATAGTTTCTCAAGAGAACATGATTAAGTATTAATCTTGGAGAAATCACTAGCTGAGGCAGAAGGAAAGCAGGATTACAGCTAGAAAAAGTTTTGACATTATTACTACCAACTTAGTAAAGGAAACTCTGAAGGCTGATTTGTTGGGTTGGAAAGAGCTATGTTCACAGGTACTGTCCAGACCTAAGAGAGGCACAGTCAGGCTCTTGTGGCTAGAGCGCTAGACTTGAAGTCAGGAATATCTGCGGTTCAATCCCACTCTCTTGACACTTAGTATGTGACTATGGATAAATCATTTAACTTTTCTTTACTTAGTTTCCTCATCTGTAAAATGGGGATAATACCTATAGTACCTACCTAACAGAGTTGCTACGAGGCTCAAAAGAAATAACATATGAAGAGTAGCTTGCTAAACTTTAAGTGTTAAATAAATGTCAGCTATTATTTCCCATTGAATTTGTTGGGGAATTAATTGGTGGTAGCATGAGCCTTGAGGTTTTACTGGCCAGGCTTTTGCTTACTTATTACTGTTGTACAGTAATTTGCTGGAAAAGCATTATAAATTCAACCAAGGGAAAGAAAAGATCTAGGAAAAATTCACTGAGAAATAGTGATTTATTATTTTTACCTCATTCATTGGTGGTAATGCACTCCATGAATTAGAATCTGGATCATATTTTTCGCCTGAGCTCAGGATCTTCTTATTTTCATCTTGGCCCCCAAATACAAATAAAAATCCTTCTGTAAAACCAAAATAGAAGCCTCAAAATTTATATTTGATAAAAATCTGCAACCTAAATCTTCCAATAACATCTTTGATTTTAGTCCTAGTTAACATAACTTTAACATAAACTATATATTTCTCTTGGAACAATCACACCTCCACATATGTATTGCTGAACGAAGCTGGAGAAAAATCACAAAACTGGGATTGAGTAGGTCCACTACAAATTTGTCATGTAACCTCAACTGGGCTCTCACTATGGCAAGGTAATCCTTTTATAGCTCTCTAATTAACTCACTATCCCACTCCCAACAGCAGCTTTTCCCAATCTTTTTGGCCCTCTTCAAACCTCTCAAAGTCTCCCCTATCCCCACTCTCTCAACTGAGAACCCTGTCTCATATTTTACCGAAAAAAAACCTGAAGCCACTATTTGCTGAGAGCTCCCTTTTCCTCATCTCACATCACTCAGATACCTTCTGCTACTATCTATGCTTTTACCCGTCTCATACAAAGAGGCGGCACTTCTTGCCAAGACAAACCCCTCTACATGCACAGGTAAATCCCATCTTCTCTAAAAGGTTCCCTCCATCATCCCCACTCACACTTATCTTTGACCTCTTCCTGTCTATTGGCTACTTCCCTACTGTCTACAAACACGCCCATGTTCCCCAATTCTGAAAACATCCTCATTTGATTCATCTAGACCTGAGAGCTATCATCCTACCTCTCTTCTCCATTTTATGGCTAAACTTCTTGAGAAGGCTGTCTAGAATGTGTCTCCACTTCTTTTCCTCTCACTTGTTTTTTGATACTGTCTTAACTCTCTTAACAGTCTGGCTTCCAGTCTCATCATTTGGATAGCACTGTTCCCTTCAAAGTTACTGATGATCTTTTAAATGCCAAATATAATGACCTTTTCTCAATCCTTGCCCTTTTTGACCTCTCTGCAGCCTCTGACAATGTTGATCACCCTCTTCTCCTTGGGTGATAGGAGTACCTCCCCCAACCTGGGGGGCCGCCCCATTCAATAAACTCTGGGGGCTCTCTATCACCTCCAGGATTGGATGTAAAATCCTGTTTGGCATTCAAAGCCCTTCATAACCTATTCCCCTCACTTTTACAGTCTTCTTACATCTTATATGCCTCACCCCAGCACTCTACTGAAACTGGCTTCCTTGCTGCTTTTTGCACAAGACACTCTATGTTTGTACTCCAGTAAATTTTTGTCAGTCCTCCATGTCTGGAATGCGTTCCCCCCCTCATTTACTTCAAGTACCTTCTACAGGAAGCCTTTTCTGATCTCCTCTAATTCTGCTGTCTTCCCTTTTGATTATCTCCAATCTATCCTGCATATATCTTGCTCGTACATAGCTTTTTGCACATTATCTCCCTCATTAGACTGCTAGTTCCTTGACAATAGGAACTGTCTTTTACTTTTCATATCCCTAACATTCAGCACAGTGCCTGACACATAGTAGGTGCTTAACAAATGCTTACTGACTGACAATCAACAATATTCCACACTCTGGCTCCCTAAGTCTTCAATATTACCACTTCCTCCTCCAATTGCTGATCATTTCAGTAGCAATCAAAGCCCAGAGATGCAGACCAAGACTCAAACGCACACCACTATGCCATTCAAGAGCAGTGGTTCTCAAACTTTTGTCTCAGGACTCCTTTACATTCTTAAAAAATTATTCAGGACCGGTCAGAGCTTTTGTTTATATGGCCTATATCTACCAATATTTACCATATTAGAAATTAAAATGTCTTAGTGTTATTATGAAAATAGTTTTGACCTTATGGACCCCTTGAAAGGGTCTTGGGGACCCCTGGACCATATTTTGAGAACTAGTGTTCTAAAGAATATTATTTCACTTGTATCTCCCATGATCTCTATTCACGGTGCTAAATTCCTTGCAAGCATATCTGTTCCATTTTTTCCAAATTATAAACATTATACTCTTATCTTTAAGTTATAAACTATGCCTTGTCCTAACTTGCTCTATTCTCTCCTTTTCTATCTTTCAGATAGTTCCTACAAAACCAACTCCTCCAGGAAACTGTCTCTAATTTACAGAGGAATGATATCAGGGACGTCTGTCAGGATAGGAAGATAGTGTTACAGAGATAAAGCTTGAGAGACAATGTACCATTATGATCCTTCTATTTCGAATCAATAAGCATCTGTTAAATGACTACATACCAGGCAGATAAGGTGCATTTCAAAACTTAGGTTGGTATGGAAAAAACTACCAAGGAAACAAGTTTCTGTTGGATATTGTTATTACAAAGTTTCCAAAGTCTTCAATATTGGATTTCAATATAATTCAACTTCAGGAGCTTGTATTTGAGATAAAGACTTTTCAATCATGAAAACATTTGACTTCTATATAAATTCATAAAGCATGCACAATGTTATCTTAATATCATAGATCTATAATGTTAACTGGAGGCCTGTGACTTTTTTTTTTAAATTTTGGTAACTATAGTTAAATTTAATTGTTTTCCCTTGTAATACTATGTATTGTATTTTATGTATTCAAAATCATTATTCTGGAGAATCTATAGTCTTTACCATACTTTCATAAAGAGAGCTGGGCTATGGTAGCATCAACTTTTCCTATTAGCATATATAAGAAAGGGCTGGATAATATGTACAATAGGATCACTTTCATATACATATGAGCCAAGAAATAGATACCATTTGTATTCTAATGCTTTAACATTTAGTTGCTATTAATTTTGGAATCTCATTTCTTTTTTTTTTATAGTTATTCCAAATATTTTAATGAGAGTTCTGTGCAAGGCATTTAAAACACCAGTTTGTGAGGATAAACTCCATTGGAGAGAAAGAATACAGAGGCACAGGTAGCCATGGAGCTGAGGAATTTTCTTGATTTGGGGCAGGTTCTGAGAGTCCACTGTTTTCTGATCAGCCTTGTGCTGCTCCGTAATTTCGTATTTCTCTTTTTCTATGTCAAAAATTTTTCCTTCTTGGTGTCTAGGTTTACGGAGCCTCTTCTTCTTGAAGTGAGCATCGGTAAGATGATTTGGAATTTTTACACCTGAAAGGTTAACCCTGGTAGAGGTGGCAATGACAAATTTCTGATGGGTCCTTCTCAGAGGAACATGGTTGATGGTCAGAGGTCCAGTCACCAGCAGCAAACCACTAGCCAGCTGCTTCAGGAAAACCACTCGCTTGCCCCTGTGATGACCAGTGGCCCGGGGTGATGCTAGATCAAAGTCTCCTCACATGCTGGCTGAAGGGCTTTTTGTCATGACTCAGCAGCTTTCTAGGCACATCCTCAGTAGGGTAATACCTTGACATTTTGCGAATCTTTACCACAAGAGTTCCTCCATTCTTATCACCACCAACTGGCTTTGAGATAGTAACAGGCACCTTCTCTTTCTTCTTCCCTTCAATCTGGGTTTTTGGTGCAGCATATTTCCACTTGTACATGGCTCTCCTGGAATACATTGCAGACCTAGAGTATTGACCAATCCCTCAGGCTAGGACTGGGTTACAACTGCAGTCTTTCAGGGCTTTTTCACCACCTTTTCAGCCACATCTTCCTTCTTGTTTTTCTCCTTTTTTTCCTTTAGGACCTTCTTTTCCTTTGGTTCCTTTGGGGATTTTTTTGTCCACCATCTTGAGAGAAGGGAAAGCTTGGAATCTCATTTCAAAGAAAACTATATAAAATGTCTTCCATTTAAAGAACACTTATTTCTAAAATACTTTCACATTTTTCCTCACAAAAACTTTTTAAGTTATTTTAGGGTTTCAAACAAAGATACTGAGAGGCAGCACAGTAAAGTGGATAAATAGCAGTCCTCAGTGTCAGGAAGACCTGGATCCAAGTCTCATCTCTAGCACACACAGGCCCAGGCAAGTCCCAGTCTCTGTGTCCCATGCAATTCTTTATAAAAGAGGTACCAACCTGCATCAGTGGAGCAAGTTCCTCCCAGGGAACTCCCTACAATAGGAAGCAGAGTGGTACAGTGCAAAGAGTATTGGGTTTGGAGTCAAACCCCAGCTCTGTCACTTACTACCTATGTGACCTGTGACCTTGGCTAAACCTAATATCTCTGGGTTTCACTTTCCTCATTTATAAACAACAACTAAAGTCCTTTCTGGCTCTAAATCAAAGATCCTACAGAAGTTTTATGACTTAAGATTTTACTATATAGTGATGAAAATGCCCAATTACAAATGAAAAATCTAGCATCAGCAATATGATAGAAACGATTCTTTCAGATCAAAGAAACATCCTCTCCCCTCCCCAGCTTTATATATGACACTTAATGAGTACCGGGTCCTTACTTCCTTATCTTCATTTTAAAAGCCCGAATTGTATTCTTAGATGTAGTATAACCAAGTCTCCCCTATTCTTTTTTTTCTTCTTTACATAGAGAAGAAGCTATATCCTTTATTAAAGTTACAGGAAAGATTTTTATTTTTTCTTTAACTTATTATTATTCTTTTATTAAATATGTCCCAATTACTTGTTAAAAATTTTTAACACTCATTTTAAAAAATTCTGAATTCCAAGTTCTCTCCCTCCCTTTTCTCCCTCCTCTTTGAGAAGACTGATATCAATTATAGATGAGGTCCCCCCACTCCTAAAAAACTTTTACTTGACTCCACTATACCCTCAATCTGTAGTCCTATATCTTTCTTCACCCAATTCCTACAAAAAATCCATTTGTACTTGTCTCTGCTTCCTCTCTTCTCATTCATTTTTCAAACCTTTGAAATCTAGCTCTTTACCTCATTACAACTGTAACTGTTCTCTCCATAGTTACCAATAATCTCTTAAACTGAGGAATCTGATAATCCTTTCTTAGTCCTAATCCTTCTCAAACTAATTGCTGCATTGAATACCAAGTACCCTCTTCTCTTTTGGATATTTTCAATTATGTATCAAGTCTCCTTTCTTGGCTCATCAGCCATATCACAGTCCTCACTGTGGATGTTACCCAAGGCTCTAACCATGGTTCTCTTCTCTACTCTTTTTTTTTTGTGATCTCATCAACTAATTCCCATAAGCTCATTATCATTTCTATGCAGAGGGCTCACTGGTCTATATATTCAGCACCAGTTCTCTTCTCTAAGCTTCACTTCAAAAATCATCTTCAAAAGGGATATCCTGAAGAAATCTTAAACTCAAAAACGTTTAAAATGTCCCCTCAAATTTCCCTTCTTCCAAGCTTCCTATTTCTGTTGAAAACGCAATTATTTTTATAGTACCTCAGTTTTGTAATCTTAGTGTTATCTATTGACTATCCACTTTTCCTAACCCCATAGAACCAATCAACTGGCAATCTTACCATTTCTGAATTTACACCATTTCTGAATTTATAACAGCTCTTGCATCTTGCCCCTTCCTCTGTATTCATTTAGCCATCACCCCAGTTAAGTTCTTCAATCCCCTCTTGTTTGTCTTATTACAACAGCCTTCTAATTGGTCTCTGCCTCAAGCCTCTCCCCATACTGGTCCACACTCCACACAGCTGCCAAAATGATTTTCTCCTTGAGTACAGATCTGACCATGTCACTACTCTAATTAAATCAACTTTAGCAGCTTCCTATTGCCTCAAGGGTCAAGTAAAAAGTCCTGTGTTTAGCTTTAATGCTCTTTAGAACTTGACTTCAAACTGTCTTTCCAACCTCAATGGACATCATTCTCCCTCCTGCCCACACTCATTGATCTAGTCAAACTTACTTTTTCTCTGATCCTCACCCATGATACTCCATTTCCCATTTTTTTGCCTTTGCAATGGCCATTTGCTATACCTAGACTGTACTCCTTCCTCATCTCCAAACTCTTCTTTTACGACGAAGCTCAAGCATCATCTTCTGCACAAAATCTTTCTTAATCTATCTGCTTTTGCCCTTCATCCCAAACTACCCTGTCTTAACTACTTTATAGTTACTTGTAGTAATTCTCCTTATCTTAACTTCGCATGCTTTTAATAAGTGTTTGTTGTCTCCCCCCTAAGAATGTCAGCTCCTTGAGAATAAGGATTGTTTCATTCATTCTATTTGTATCTTCAGTGCTTAGCATAGTGCATATAATAGGCACTTAATATTTACTGAGTAATATTACATTTTATAAAGCTGCACCATACTGAACAATTCAGATGCAACTGCACACCATTTTATCTTGTGCCAAAAAGTAACATTTAATAGAAAATAGATACCTGCTGAGAGTACTCCATGGTTAAGTCTTGGAACACTTAATGGGGCCAATTCAATCCAGAGCTGCCTATTAGGGTCATAAAGTGGGCACATACAACGCATCACTGCTGTTGGTTTCCTTGAGCTAAAGAACACATATAGAAATTAATTCATTTGCATTTTTTTCCTTTAGACCATAGTATTATAACCAAATTTCATATCTTCAAAGAGTATTACTAAAAAACTGGTAAGTACTACATATTTTAGAGACTCAAATAGAAAAATAAACATTTTGCATTCTATTTTACATAGGAAACAATATTCTTTAAGTCACTTTTCAGGCAACTGATACCAATTACTTACACTCTTTCTTCACCACCAACAGTTACTATGCATTCAGAATAACCCCTGGGTTTGAAAGATGCTAGCATTGCTTCTCCTTGTTGTGGTTGGCTGAGTGGTATATTGCTACATTCTTTGACGATCTCCCGTACTAATGGTTCACTCAACATCTGTTCCCGTAAATAACTGGAGTCTAACCCTGAAACCCATAGAGCTGACATAACATCCTTCATGTGGACCTGAAGAACAAGAATATGAGATTAGGGAGAATGTAGGTGGGAGAAAAGGAGGGAAAAAGTAAATAAATATTTTTTAAAATACATAATTTTCCTATAATTCCCTATCTCACTGCTCAATTCCCCGCCTCCCCAAAATCTAAAATGTACTCACAGTTAAGTCAGATTGTTAGTATTCACTAAGCACCAGTACTGTATTCTTAGATATACATCCCCAAAAGTTACTGAACTACAGTCATAAATGGTTTTTTCTACGTTGCTAGTGTTATTCCTTCTATTAGTGCATTCAGCAACATATCTACTCCTCATCATTTGTGTTTCTTGTTACCCTGTGCTCTATTTTCAATTGATTTGCCACTATCACACTTCAGAAGTAGAAGGAAGTCAACATAAGACTAAAAGCTATTTTGTATTTTAGCTTTTTCAAGCGTCATTATGGCCAAAGACTTCATCATATAATGAATAACTTGATGGTGATGAGTCTCAGGTTAAGTCTTCAGACAGCAGGTAAAGTATGTTACTGGGGATGCATCTGAAGCCTCTCCAGTGCTGTAAAATGTGCTAAGGCTTGCATGCTAGGATCCTCTCCCCCTGACCCCTGTCCCTCCACGCCCTACTCCATGACATACCAAAGCAGAACATAGGATTTTGGAGTTGGAAGAATTTTTACAAGTCATCTAGTTCAACCCTTTCATTTTACAAACACGGAAATAGAAGCCAAGAAGAGCCAAGTGACTTGCTCAAAGTCATACACAGTGACAATTAGAGCTGGGATTCAAATATAGGGCCTCTACTTCCAAAACCAAATTACCACAATACCATTCAGAGGAGAACCTTGTTATATAGTATGGCCTATATTTCATATATATGGACATACAAGAGGTCAGTTGATCTAAAGTATAATGAACACATCCAACCTCTCTAAGAAAAAAAAAATTATATGCAGAAATAGTTTATTTGGCCTAGAAAATAGTGTCAGTTCCATCTTTTAACATCAGCCTTATAAAGAAACGTAGGAAATTAAAAGTTCAAAGACATCCTCAGAACACACAAATCTTTTGTTTACCTTTAATGCAGTACTATTTACCTAAAAATATGTAATATACGAATATGTACATAGTTTTTTTTAATGATTTACATTGTTAATTTACAATTAATCACTTTTAATTGAGCCGAAGACCTAATCTTGATATTTTTTATATTTTCATAGTTCACTAATTGGTATATTCAAGGATACGCCACAGAATATACCAATTTCAAAATTTTTTTTATCCTGAAAAATAAATGTTAGAACTATTCATAAGCATTATAGATTAACTAAGAGGCAGCATAGTACAGTAGAGAGCTGTCCTCAGAGCCAGGAAATCACACCTCTAACACATCCTATTGAGTAACTTCAGGTTAGTCATTTAACTTCTCAAGTAGCCCAGGCAATTCTCTAAGACTGTAAATTACAGAGAAGTTACTGACCTGCAGAGACACAGTTTCCTCATCACAGAGTTCCCTTTAATCAAAGGAAATACAATTCCAGGCCTTAGCTCTATGTTACAGATTAACAAAAAATACAAAGCTGTCTTCAGTATCCTCAACATCCAGTCAACCTCAGGCACAAAGATGAAGGAAAGGGGACCACGAGCATTCTAGTCATGGGGAACAATCAGTGGAAAGGCAGAGTTGGATGATGGAGTATCAGGTTCAAGGATTTAGTAACATGGACAGTGTCACTGGATTACAGAATGTTTGGGGGAGGGTAAAGTGTCAGAAGCCTAGAAAGGTAAGAATGGGCCGGGTTATGAAGGGCTTTGAAATCCAAATGGGATATTGTATTTGACCCTGGAGGTAACAGGGAGTCACTGGAGTTTGGTGAGTAGGGAGGGAATAACATGTTCAAATCTGTACTTTAGGAAAATCACTTTGGCAGCTGATTGGAGGAATAGATTGGATTGAATGAGACTAGACAGGGAAAGTAATTAGATGGCTACTGTAACAGTCCAGGTGAGAAGTGATTATTGCCTGTTCAAAGGAGGTGGCTTTATGACAGAAGGGAACATATATAAGATACTATGAAGGTAAAAACAATAAGATCTGACACTAGAATGGATATGGGGGGATGAGTGTGAGAAGTAGAGGATAACACTGAGAGTGACTGGGATGATAGTGTCCTCTAAAGAAATAGAGAAGTTTGGACAGAGGTAGGTTTTGGGGAAAATTTAATGAGTTCTGTTTTGAACATGTTGAGTTTCATCCCCAGAACATATAGTTAGAGATGTCTGATAGGCAGGTGGTGATGGTAATATGGACATCAGGAGAGGTGTTACCAGGGGTGGGGAACCCTTCGGCCTCAAGGCCATATGTGGTCCTCTAGGTCCTCAAGTGTGGCCCTTTGACTGAATCCAAACTTCACAGAATCCCTTTAATAAAAGGATTTGTTCTGTACAACTTGGACTCAGTCAAAAGGCCTCACCTAAGGACCTAGAAGGCCACAGGTTCCCCATCCTTGTTAGAAATAAATAAGTAAATTTGGGAATCATTTGTATAGATAAAATCAACTGGAGCTAATGAAATCACCAAATGATATACAGAGGGAGAAAAGAAAATGATCCAGGACAGACCTTTGGGGGGCACCTGGAGGAAGATCAAGGAAAGGAGATTGAGAAGGAGAAGTCAGGTAGGAGGAAAATCAGGAAAGAAGTATGTCATAATAACCTAGGGAGAAGAAAATGATTTCAGAAAAACCGGGAAAGACTTACATGAATAATGCAAAGTGAGGTGAGTAGAACCAGGAGAACATTGTACACTATAACAGCAACTTTGTATGATGAATTGTGAATGACTTAGCTATTCTCAGCAATACAATGACACTAGACAATTCCAAAGGACTTGTGATATAAAATGCTATTCCGCTCCAGAGAAAGAACTGATGGAGTATGAATACAGATCAAAGCATACCATTTTTTACTTTTTTTTCCCACGGTTTTTTTTGGGTCTGTTTTCTTTCATGACATAACTAATATGGAAATATATTTTGCATGATTACACATGTACAACCTATATCAAAGTGCTTATACCATCTAAAGAAGTGGAAGGGGAGAGAGGTAGAGAATTTGGAACTCGACATTTTAAAAATGAATGTTAAAAGTTATTTTTACATGTAATTGGGAAAAAATAAAATATTTTTTAAAAAAGAAAGAAATGGAGGGTGAAAGACGAAAGGGTTGAAATGATAAAAGATTATGATCAGGTAAAGGAATTTCAGAGCTCATGAACATGGAAGTGGGACACTTGTGGATAACTAGGTCAATGCTTCTTAACTAAAGTGAGGTGGAGGATTAGGTCATTAGAATTGAACTGGGAAGTTAGGGAGCTTTTTTGCCCTTCAATTTATTATTTATTTTAAACTTTTTTTTCTTTTAGTTAGGGAGTTCTGGAGGAGTTTTGATAGTTTCATTGAAGAGCACTAGTATGAGGGCAGACAGAAAGACTTGTGAGTCAAGCACTGGATTCATTAAGGAACGGAATATCTCAGGGGTCAGTAGATAATATCTATGAGACTCCTGACTGATATATATTTGGATCAAATACACTTCAGAGGAGAGTAAGTGATGATGATACAGGCAGAGTCTGGAAGTGGCAAAGGGGGAACAATGATTATTTACTCTTTCACCATGGACATCTGGTCCTCATATCAACAAAAATAATCCTCTCTTTCACACAATTAATCTAAATACCAATGAAAAGTTAAGTATAAACATGCATTTATAATTTATCCAGGAGGGTTTAATATATTTAATTATCAATAAATGTAGAGACAAATATTTTAAATTCATATATATGAAGAAAAATTAGTACCACAATCCTAAAATGTATTAAGAGAAATCAGAAAATTTGATAGCTAAAATTCAAAATAACATAGGTAGTTAGTGTCTTATTGATAACTAGAACATCTGACTTAGAAAACTTACATAAGGGAACAGCCAATGAAAGCTCACTCTTCTCCTCCCTCTCCATCAAATACCCTGAGCCCCTTTACTACAGATTACACTCACTGCTACTCTCACTGGACCTAGAACTGTGTGACCTCTTCTTTTTGTGCTTCGGTTTGTTCCATCATATGTTACATGAGGATGTTAGATTAGAATAGGGATTCTTAACCTGGGCTATACAAAGTTTTTCTTTTCTTCTAATTTTGATAACTGCATTTCAATGTAACTGGCTTCCTTTGTAACCTCATTTTATGCATTTAAAACACACTACTATGAGAAAGTGTTCATAGGCCTTTACCTGACTTCCAAAAGGGTCAAAAACAAACAAACAAAAAAAAGGTTAAGAAGCTCTGGAATAGATGATACCTAAAGTAACTTTCATCTTAGACAATCTATGGTTCTATATTATTGAACAAGATTTTTAAAAAAATTTAGCTTCTCAGGGCAGCTAGGTGGCGCAGTGGATAGAGCACAGGACCTGGATTCAGGAGGACCCAAGTTCAAATATGGCCTCAGACACACAGTACTTATTAGCTGTGTGACCTGGGCAAGTCACGTAACCCCATTGCCTAACCAGAAAAAAATATTTAGCTTCTCCCTAAAAAATTTTTTTAAACATTCATTTAAAATTTTTTTTGAGTTCCAAATTCTTTCTCCTCCCTTCCCCTCCCCATTAAGGAGGCAAGCAATGTGATATGCAAAACATATTTCCATATTAGTCATGTTGCAAAAAAGGAAAGCAAGAAAAAGAAAGTAAAAAAATTATGCTTCAATCTGCATTCAGACTCCATCAGTTCTTTCTCTGGAGGTGGAAAGCATTTTTCAACATGAATCCTTTGAAACTGTCTTGGATCACTGTTTTGATAAGAGCAGCTAAACCTTTCATAGTTAATCATCATTACAATATTGCTGCTACTGTGCACAATTGAACTAGATATCTAACCACTCTCACTACCCACACATAGGAGCCAAACAAAACCCTTCTAACCAAAATCTCTTCCTCCAGAGTAAACAAAGAAAATAAACCTACAGGACTTCTGGTCAGAGCCCTAACAGGAACCTTTTAAGTTTCTACTTCTTGCTATGTAATTGATCTTTTCCTTCTCTACCTATGAGTTCTGAGTTCTATTCTACTCTCTACCACCCTTATCTGAGGACCTTAGCAGAAGCTAAATAATGCAAGAGGGAAGCCTCAAATGGTTGGAGTAGGTGTGTTATTGTTAGCCCACTTGAACTTTATAAGGCACATTCTCTTAAGTACAAATGTACCAAAGAATGAATGGATTCCATAGTATAGTTAGGACTTGAAGACAATAACAGTTTGTTTTAAATAGACCTCTGTGGATTGGCATGGGAATTTATTCACATTTTATATAGCACTATTTCTATGGGTTCTATCTATTTCAAGGGTTCCAAACAACCAACTTATTAAGAAGCTGCATTCCAAAAGTTGATCAACTATAAAATAGGAATAATATCTCTAACACTTACTATACATGGGTTGCTATGAGGCTCAAATGAAGTAATGTGTATCAAGTGCTTGCAAACCTCAAAGCACTATATTCAGTTCAGTTACTATCCTTAATCTAAGCATTGCTTGAGTTACTTTTTCCAACAGAATGAAAGGTTCTTGAGGTCACAGATTGTTTCATTTTTTCTTTGTACCTCCAATGCTTACTTAGTTTTTTGAATTAAATTCAATTTGTAAGTTTCTTCTTACAATAGGATAAAGCAAAACAGACAAACAACTAAAATAAATACTCAGAAAGACAAATTAGAAGCATTACCAATTTCAAATGTCTCTACAGTACCTTTCTTATTTCGGAATCATGGGATATCCATCGAATAACTGCTTCGAATACATATTTTTCATTGCCAACATTTAACTTCTCAAGAGAAATCACTTCTTTCAGTTTTTGAGGATTTAATTCTAAGAATTCTTCAGTGCTGCTGACATCTCGGAAATGAGTCTCCAGGTATTCCGTAGCAAGATAATGTACATGATGCAAACAATAATGCAGTGCAAAGTCTCTAATGCCAATGCAGTTCTCAGCAGCAATACAACCTTCCAAAAATTCGCAGCAGAGAGTTTTCAGATCTGTCAACAGCAACAAGTCTGCTGCTTGAACAACATCTTGGATTGTGTCTTCACTTAGCCTGATCTGTAAGAATTTTATATACATATTTTATATTCAAAACTAAATTCCAAACACTTGAAACCAAAAGCACTGACAACCTTTTTTTTTTAAAGCAAAAGTTGAAGGCACCCTGAGCAAGAAAAGTGGGAAAAGAAGAATGGACAATATATGCCTTTTGTGGATAGCTTCCTTCAACATTTAGCTCAAACAACTTTCTGTTGGAGACTTTTCCTGGTCCTAGAAGCTGCTAGCACTTTCCCTTCTATAACTCCCCTGCTGCTACACTATATATATCCTTCTATACCACTATATGTACAAGTCCTCCATTAAAATACATGCTCACTGAGGTAAGAGATTGTCTTTAATTCTTAAGAATGGCATGTCCTGGTTAACTGAATTCTCTGGTTAACATATTAGCTCTTAAAATATCACCATCATTACTGGTGAAAATCTTGTCTGTTTTTTTGCTTTAGTAAAGCCAGCATATTGAACAAATTTTTAGTCAGGATCTTGTAATATTTTGGTCATTATTTTGAATATTAAGCATCATGTAGTACAATTGATCTACAAAGTATAAGAGACAGATTTGAATTTCTAACAATCTTCAGAACAACTCTCAAAAAGTTGCTTTTCAGAAAGAATTTTTTTTATCTTGTTTTCTTATATTTTCACCCAAATGGCTTCCAATTCTAGCCTCAGGGCCCCTACCACTTCTCCACTTGTCAAAAGACCTCTGTAATCTTTCTAGAATCACTTATCCACTATTAAGAACATCCCAAAGAGTCAGTAAGTACCTAACCTTTAATCAGAAATGAAAAGAAATAATTCCACAGTATCATCAAAGCAATTTTTAGTGTGCTTCTCACAGTATAATCAAAATATAATTGTAATAATCTTAGACAACAGGTGCCCAAAGTTGCTGGACTTGTCTGTCATATGACAGGGACTGGAATATTGCTCAAGCCATATCAGTACTTGGTAAGGGGAAGTTTTCTCAAGAAACATACTTGAAAAAGCAAAATGTATCACATTGAATAAAACTCTTGTCAGAACCTTTTGTATGCATACTATATTATAGTTACAACTTTAAATTAAATGGGAGAATGAAACAGAGGTTTAAAACAAGGTTTTAAAATTCAACCTGGAAGCTAACATGTTGTTTAATTCAAAACAAGCTATACATGTTGAACTAACTTCCAATCATGGCACAAAATTGTACTTTCATGGGAAAGCAAAACAAAATTAACTTAAATTCAGGAGGAATGTCATGAAACCAAATCTAAAGTTCATAATGTTTGGTGATCATTGTTTGACTATAGGCAGTATGCAAACCTGTAACTGAAAGACTGGCTAGGGAGAAAAAGGAAAAAAGGAAGGGAATCAAAGAGAAGAGGAAGAAGGTAAAATAAAGGAAAGATAAAGGATAGAGATGAAAAGACTATTGCTATATATTAGATCGATCAAATCTATTCCAGCATAACTAAAGTAGGAAACTCTGTAGCTAAATGTAATTCCTCCTTTGAACTCACAGCACCTTATGTGTAAATCCTTAATATTCCACCTTATGTTAGTTGTGTATGGTTTGTCTGCCTTCCTAGATCATAAGACCTTTGAATGTCTTATTTTAACACCTCTCCTAGTGCCTAACCTAACCCAAGGCCTTGCATATATAGCAGCATCTTAATATTCATTGAATGAAAATATACTAACCTATACTGTTGGGAAAAGTGTGTCCTCCATGTTATCTTTCAAATGACATTTTGGAGTACAGAAAGTAACAGTAAAGGAAAAAAAAATGGGTTTCAAATTACTTTTTTCTCCCTTACTCCAGAGATTCAGGAGACATAGGGGAAGGGGCGTAGATATAGAGTACTAGAATATAAAAGTAGAAAAAAATTAAGGTAAGAAAAAGTTGCTCCTGTGACAGTGTTCTTAAGTCATCATCAGTGAGACTGAGATAAGTATAATGTATATATACTAGCCACAGTTTGGGGGAAATGGTCACAGAGGACTAGTTCTACAAAATTATTTCTAAAATCCAAGATTCTGACTTTTATATATAACAGGTTTTCAAGGCCAATGAAAATACTGTGAACTCTATAACACTTCCAGGGGGTTGAAGGAACAAAAAAAAAGAAAAGAAACCTAGGGGCAACAAGGTACCCCTTTTCCTTACATTCCTGGAAATATGCTGGGAGCAGGAAACAGAATGGCAAATTGGAAAGTCACAACTTCCCTAGACCTCAATTTCTGCATCTGTAAAATAAATTGCTTGGACAAGATGGCTTCATCTGTTTACAACTCTATTGCTGTGGTCCACATAGTTGGAGGGATTTTAGGCTGAGTAAAGCCCTGGAAAAGCCCTGGCAGGATACATCTGGAGTGCTGTCAGCCAGCAAATGATACCTACCAGTCAGTCATATATACAACTTAAAACTAAGATTACAGTAGCTGTAAAGCTTTGTTATATAAGTGATGAAAGGAAACTCTCCCCCTTGTCTTGAGAAGTCTTTAAATCTTTTTTCCCTTCTGTTTTTCATCATACCTGTCCACTGAAGATGTAATCCAGGATCTCTCTCATAACCATTACTGATATTCCTTCAAGTTCAATTTTATAAGTTGATCCATCGTCTTTTGGAGGATTATAGTTTAATTTTGTTCTAGGAAAGGGAATAAAAAAAGTTGTTACAGAAGTATCTAAAATTTAAAATACAGCAGTGAATTAATTTTTATGTACTAAATACACAAGATTATATATTTTATCAATAAAGTTATTACCTTTAAAAAAGTCAATTTAACAACTTAAAATTTGTAAAACTTTCATAAAACTTCCAGTTTTTTATTGTTAAACTTTTTTTGGTTTTAGAATTTCTATACCATATGTGATATAACACATAGAAAATCAGTCTCAAGTATGGAAGACCTATCTGGGTTCAAGTTAAGACGTGAACTTTCTAGCAGGTTTAACAAAGCCACTGTTCACATGTATTGGGTTTGAAACATCTTGTATGGTACAGTTCTTAAATCTCAATACAACTACCCAAATTTAAGAGCCATTAGCCTCTTAAACAGGCCATTCTTTGTATTTTAAAGGATCAAATGAGATAATAATCGTAAAGCATTTAGCACAGTGCCTGGCACGTAACAGATGCTATATACATATTCCCTCTTTTTGTTTCTCCCATTTCCCCCCAAAGTTATACAATTTGTGTTGTCAAGGAGAAGACTGATGTAACACCAGCATCTCTCTGACTAAGTAGAAACAAAGACACCTCCAGTTTGTAGGCAGAGTCATCATCTTCAGCACTTACCTGCAAGCCTGTCATATAGTTATTAAATTATTTTAAGCCAGATACCTTGGTACACCTGGCATTTTTATTAAATAGGGTGAGTTGACAGCACCCAATAAAAAGGAGGAAAGTATTACTGGAAGCATGGATAATCAAAGTCATTTATAATTGGTTTTAAAAGATACAGTATAATTTTTGGGAACAGACTATCTTTTTAATAATATTTCAAACTCAGACCAATATATTTTTGGGGGGGGGGTGAGGCAATTGGGGTTAAATGACTTGTTCAGAGTCACACAGCTAGTGAGTGTTATGTGTCTGAGGCAAGATTTGAATTCAGGTCCTCCTGACTTCAATCAGACCAATATTAAAAATTAGTTTGTATCCTCTGGGAATATAATACCTGAATGAGAGGCAACCCAAATGTATGGCTGAATGAATTAAATCAGGAACTGACTACCCAGAAAAAAAATTTAATGGAAAGAATTATTTTAGAGTCACCAGTAGATGGTAAAAAAGGAATCATGGATGAAATGGTAGAAAGGGATAGTTTGCAACTGTAAAATTTACCAATTTATGTCATAGTAAAGCCTCAGTTATCTGAACTCTCAAGCAATTGGATACTCTGGAAACTGAAGCTTCTAATTAGCGAGGAATTAAAGCTCTTAACTTTAATTTTTTTTTAACAACAATAGCTGGCATTTATATAATGCTTCATGGTTGCAAAGTGCTTTACAATTATCTCATTATACTCACAACAACCTGTAAGATAGGCGCTATTATTAATCCCATTTCACAGATGAAGAAGCAATTAGAAGTTAAGTGACCTGTTCAGGATTGAACAGCTAGTAAGTATTTGAGGCTGGATTTGAACTCAGGTCTTCCTGACTCCAAGTTCAGCGCTCTATCCACTACACCACCTAGCTACAAAATTTTAAAAAACAAACAACAAACCCTATATATTACACACTTCCTTCTATTAAATTATATTATGTTGTATGACAAGAGACTTTATCAGGTTGTCCAATTGCCCCTCTCCAATAAACTGTACCACTTGGCATACTTCGGCTTCATCTTTTCATACCATCCAGCTATCTTATCATTTACTAGTTGTTGTTGCCTGCTCCCCAACAGGACCTCTATATCTTGTACTTCCAAAATTCATTCCCCACAGAGAAAGGTAATCCTTTTACCTTTGTCTTGAGGCCCCCCAGTCTTCTTGATTGGTGATTAAATGTAAATCATTCCTGTAAATACAGCTAGCAGCAGATCATTCTTTAACTTCCCAGTAAATTTGGCCATTTCAATTCCTCTTGACCACCTCTCTGCCTTCAACAATCGTTGCTTATGGAATAGGTGTGTCAGCTGACTGCCTTAAACATCAATTCACCCTCCCAGTGACTCCCCAGACCCAAATCTCCCTTTCCTGGCCACTCCTCTAAATTTAATTTGTATTTCCATGCTAAAATATCAGTTCTTTAAGGGCAGAGGTTGAATTTGTATTCCTAGCACTCAGCAGAATGCCAGGTACACAGTGAGTGCTTAATAAATGCTTAATCATATAACTGACATTGTGAAGCTTACTACATGTGTTTGGTTCAAGTACCTGTCAGTGCAGACACACACAAAAGTGTTCCCTAAGTCTATGATTTCAAAAGGCATAGTACTAATGAAGAGCAAGTTCATTGAATAACTGTACTGAAAGAGCTCTGACTAATGTTAAGTAGGATGGAAGTCTGTTCCTGTCCTGTTCATCTGTTATATAAATTTGGATGAAGATAAAAGGCATTTATCACATTTATAAATAATAATACTAAGAAATAGCTGAAACTGGAAGACAGACTTTGAATTTAAAACCCCCCAACATATTAGAAAGATGTATGGACTGAATTCAAAACTAAAACAAAAACTAAATTTAGCTAGGAAAAAAGGCATTTGGTTGGCCCTTAGGGTCAAACATTAATTGTAATTGGATGGAACCTAGTTTAACACAAATTCACGTGAAAAAGATTGCAGTTGACTATAAGTTCAATGTGTGCCAGTGTGACTGCAAAAACAACAACGACAACAACAAAAGAATCCTCTCTGGGTTTTAAAGCCTAGCCTCTTTCATGGCAAGAAACAGGATCATAGAATAGTAAGTAGATTTAGACTTCAGTGACCAAATCCAACTTTTTACTTTTACTGGTAAGATAGAAACTAGGGCAGAGAGAAGTTAAATGATTGCCAATGTCCTATCACAGAAGGAAGGCCAATTAGACCATCAAGATTTCCCCAATACCTCATAAACCACGGCCTTCATCCACATCATGGAATGCCTTGGTTGTACTCCTTCCCTGGCCCTGACAGGCAGATATCTCAAGTCTCCAGCTTTATACACACACACACACACACACACACAAATAATATCATATTATACTAATTATATATATTCCTACACACACACACACACACACACACACACACACACACACACACACACACACACACCCTGTCCGTATCACCTATAAGTTCTGTTAAGCCCTCTCTTGTTCTATTAGTAAAAGAAAAATTGCAGTCAGAACCATACTGGCCAAAATGGACAGCAATGTAGTACTGCTACCTTTAAAGCACTCATACTTCAACTTTAAGGGTCAGTGAATTCATTCATATGTGTACTCTTCTCACCGATTCAGATGGCAACCTCTTCTCCATGCCTTAGTAGACAGGTTTTATGGGTGGAAAAAAATCACCATGGCCAAGCTTCTAATGAGGAACCTTTCTGCATTTAGTTAGGTTGAACCTTCATCTGACATCAGGACTGTACACAAAAGCCTTCTCATGGCCCCTCACATCCCTCCTCCCTTTTTTTCTTTTGGTGACAACTTAAGTGTTCTTGGTTTTATTAGAAAAGTACCTGGAAGGAAAGAGAAAAGAAGGGAACAATGCTATACTATGTCCTGGTTGGACCATATCTTTAATGTTATGGTCACTTCTGGGCACCATTTTAGTCAGGCTATTTATACTGACAATACCCTGGACAAACTGGACAGCATCCAGAAAAAGGTGAGAGCATGGTGAGGGGGACTGTGTATTCTGACATATGAGTCAGAACTAGTCATATTCATCCAAAAGAAGAGGAGTTAGTAGGAGTACATAATAGCAATCTTCAAGTGTTTGAAGGACTGTTATTGGGAAGAGGGATTTTTTGCTTATCTCCAATGGACTTCAGAGAAATGTATGGTAGCTGCAAAAAAGCAGATGTTGAATGGATATAAGAAAACTTCCCAAGAAACAGAGTTTCTTTTTTTTTAAAGCATATTTTCACATTAGTCATGTTGCAAAGAAGAATTAGAACCAATGGGAGAAAGCACAAGAAAGAACAAACAAGGAAAAAAGAGAGAGCAAATAGTATGCTTCAATCTGCATTCAGACTCCACAACTCTTTTTCTGGATGTGGATAGTACTTTTCATCATGAATCCTTTGGAGTTGTCTTAGATCCTTGCATTGCTGAGAAGAGCTAAGTTTATCAAAGTTAGTCACTGTACAACGTTGCTGTTACTGTGTTCAGTGTTCTCCTGGTTCTGCTCACTTCACTAAGCATCAGACCACACAAGTCTTTCCAGGTTTTTCTGAAGTCTGCCTGCTCATCATTTCTTATGGAACAATAATATTCCATTACGTTCATATATCACAACTTGTTCAGCCATTCCCCAATTGATGGGCATCCCCTCAACTTCCAGTTCTTGGCCACCACAAAAAGAACTGCTATAAATATTTTTGTATATGTGGGTCCTTTCCCCATTTTTATGATCTCTTTGGGTATAGACCTAGAAGTAGATTGCTGGGTCAAAGAGTGTGTATAGTTTTATAGATCTTTAGACATAGTTCCAAATTACTCTCCAGAATGGTTGGATCAATTCACAACTCCATCAACAATGCATTAGTGTTCCAATTTTACTACATCTTCTCCAACATTTATTATTTTCCTGTTTAGTCATGTTAGTCAATCTGATAGGTGTGATGTGGTACCTCAGAGTTGTTTTGATTTGCATTTTTCTAATCAAAAGTGATTTGAAGCATTTTTTCATATGACTACACATAGTGTTAATTTCTTCATCTGAAAACTGCTTGTTCATATCCTTTGACTATTTATCAGTTGGGGAATTATCTGTATTCTTTTTTAAATAATTAATTTGTTCTTAGTTTTCGACGTTCACTTCCATAAGATTTCAAGTTTTAAATTTTCTCCTCTTCCCTCCCCAAGATGGCATGCAATTTGCTATAGGCTTTACTTATACAGTCACAGCATATATTTTCACATTGGGAATAACTTGTATTCTTACAAATTTGACTCAGTCCTCTATATATTTTAGAAAAAAGGCCTTTA